TTGCTTTTGGAATATGTACCCATGCAGTACTTCCAAAAATTCTCAAATGTGCCAGTGATGGCTTTCTCCCATATAGAATGGCATATGGAGTATTATTAATGGAGGAACTCCACAGCCTGTTAACTATATAATTGGCAGTCAATATGGCTTCTCCCCAATATGACCTGCTCATACCAGAATCCTCTAATAATGAATCTTTTATTGTTTGCAAAACACCATTCCTTCTTTCAGCTACACCATTCTCTGCTGCTGAGTAAGGATTTGTACGTCTGTGTCTTATCCCCAACTGCCCCAACCATTGTTGGAATTTAGTTGACATAAATTCAGTACCTCTGTCAGTTTGCAACTGACATACTTGTTGTCTGTAGCTTCTCTCTACAAAACTTACCCACTGTTTAAATTGTTGTAGCACCTCTGTCTTATCTCTAAGCAAGTAACAAAATGAATACCTGCTATAATCATCAACAATTACCAGTGCATATTTTGCTCCTCCCAAACTGGCTTGCATAGGTCCCACCAGATCTGCATGGACCAGCTCTAGAGCTCTTTTTGTTTGTCTTGTGCTATATTTACTAACTGGGAATGCCTTTGACTTCGATGCTTTGCATATTGCACAGTCCAAATATGTTTTGCATCCCTTCAAATTTAGCCCTTCTGCAAACTCTTGCATTTGCTGCAAAACTTTAAAGCTTGCATGGCCAAGTCTTCTATGTAGAAGATGAATGCATGAATCATGCTCTGCAACATTCTTAAATATATGGGAACATTGAACCTGTTGTCCCTGCAATACATATAGATTATCTTCCTTTATGCCTTCTGCACAAATATTCCCATTCCTTTTGATGAGACACTTCCCACTTACAAAAATGATCTCAAAACCTTGTTTGTCTAAATTAGACACACTTAACAAATTATGTTCCATTTCAGGTACACAAAGCACATTGGTAAACTTTGATTCCAAATATGGAATTTTTACATTGCCTCTTCCGATGACTTTTGCTTTCTGGCCATTTGCCAAAGCCACAGCTTCTTGTGCTATTGGAACAAACCTGCAAAATAATTCAGAGTCATTAACAATTGTTTGACTTGCACCACTATCTATTAGCCACTTGTCTCTGTTGTTGCTATTGCAAACTTTTGCAACACCAAAATGTTCCTTTTGCAAATTAGTCTTCTTTGCATGCATAAATGTCTTTTGCTGCAAATTGTTCCTTTGCAAACAGTTCCTTTTCAGATGTGTGCTGGCTCCACAAATGTAGCAATTCCTTTCTTGCTGCTTGCAAAATCTCTCTTTTGTTGCAACTTGGTCCATCTGCTGCTTGTTCCTTCTCCTCGGGAGACTTGCAGTCTGGACCCCCTCCTCAGGAATTTCTCCTCCTCGTGGCTACTCCTGAAATTGTGCTTTTCTTCTTCATTAAGCAAACATGCCTTTAAAGCCTCAAAATTTAAGTCCTTTTCTTCTTTGCACTCAAATATTGCAGAAACTGTGTCCCAGGTTTATCTAAACTGTTCAACACCAATAAAACCTTCTGTGACTCAGGAAATTTAATCCCACGTTGTTCTAAGTCCAAAAATAAACTTTGCATTTTATTTAAATGCTGTTCCACAGATTCACCTGGTTGCAAACAGGCTCTGTAAAGTTTTCTTGACAATTGCACTATATTGCATGCAGAAACATTCACGTGAACAGCTCTCAACTTCAGCCAAATTTCCTTTGCAGTCTTTAGATTTGCAACATTTAGAAACTGTTCATCATCTAAATTCAAGATGAGATAGGCCATTGCTTGATCATGACTTTTCTGATCAGTAGCTGCAAATACTTGTGGGGGATTTTCTACAATATACCACAGCTCTTTTGCTTTCAGCAAACATTCCATCTTCGCAGCCCATATAATGTAATTCTTTTGGCCTAAACGAGGCACAGAGCTTTCCTTAAATTCCATTTCAGCCATTCTGCTATTTCTGCCTTGTTCTTATACTTTCTAAACACAGGCAATTTCTTCCAGCTTTAAATTACAATGCAGTCCTTAGTAAGCTCTGGGCCCATAACCTGTTAGAGAATTTTAATTTCTCTATTGGTGAAAATAAATCAGAAGCTCTCACAGGTGACTGCATTTAGCTGATTCAAATAAACTCTTTATATTCATAGCAAAATATTTACAATACCATACATTCTTCTTCACAGCAACATAGCATAAATGAAGACTTCTTACAGCAGAGACAGACCAGAGACTGAAACTGAAACAAACCAGCTTCTAACTCTAAACCTTTTGCACAGACTCAGTAGCACTTTCTTCACATTGGCTGACTGAGTTACCACATGACTCTTCCTGCTCATGAATATTCCAACAGTTTGTATGTCTATAAAAACAGGCCATCAATATTTGTTACAATTTGTTAGGAGACAGACATCTCACTCTAAATGAGGCATCTCACTCTAAATGTGAGTGACTCAAATATTTATAAGGCTTTAGTTTTGGTCTATGCCTAGGAGGCAGGACCAGGTCTTCTCAGGCCCCCACTTCCCTCCCCCCAATTTTCAATTGGTGTTGGATTAGCAAAATAGTGACTAGTATATTGATTCAGTCCTGTGTCCTAAGTTTGGTTTAAACCAGTATGGCTGATGTATTGTGCTACTCTCTCTGTGAAAACATTCCAAAAATGTTAGGGAGATGGTGTCAGCATTTTGGCAATTTTTTTTAGAATTTATCTTCTTCTCAAAGAATGTTAAGTACAAGACATCTACTATGTCAAGAATTTCAGAAGTTTGAGGGAAAATTAAAAATATGTAATTTCTTTTTAAAATGTATACCATGGGAATATATAATAGTAAGTCTCAACATAAAATAGAGTGATGGATATTTGCTTGTTAAGTATTTGTGTAAAAGCAAATAGTATTTTCTTATGAACTGAATATAACAATATTCCTTTGTCTTCTCTTTTGTAGGTTTTCTCTGCAAAGGAGGACAAAGTATGCAACAATCTTTCTCTTAGATATTGCCTTCCCTATTTCTTTCTCCTCCTTTCCAGAACTTTGAGGGCGTCACCATGTTCCTATCCCAGATGCAAGATTTGCCAACTGTGGCACTCTTGTTTTGTTCCATCTTTCTGTTTCTGCTTGTTCTGAGAACTGAAAGAGAGCATCTTGAAACTTTGGCTCTCCACCAGAAACTTCAAAGTAGCCCAGAATTTAAATGGAAAGATATACTTGAGAAGGCAAAGAAAAATAGTTCTTTGGATCTGCAGCCTCTTGCACCTTCAACAGCCGCGCAACATCCCTTGGAAATTGTTTACTCTAAAGATCTTAATTTTCTTCTCAATGAGCCAAATAAATGTCAGGAAAGGAACCCTATTTTAGTCTTGCTGGTGGTAACAAAGCCTAAATATTTTGTTGCAAGACAGGCCATCAAGCATACATGGAGAAATGAGAACTCAGTGGGTTATATTTCCATGGTCTGCCTTTTTCTCTCTGGTAACCACCAAGTCTTTGGATCCCGGCTTCAAAGTCTTTTGGATGAGGAAAGTTCCATCCACAAAGATATTATCCAGCAAAATTTCCTGGACACTTACAACAACCTCACCCTAAAAACTCTAATGGGCACGGAGTGGATAAGCAAGTTCTGTCCCAATGCCATCTGTGTGATGAAGGCAGATACTGACATCTTTCTCAATGTGAACTATATGGTGTCACAACTATTACAACCCCACTTAGCCCCAGACTATATGACAGGGTACATTTATCGGAACACAAAGCCATTACCTAATAAAGCATTTAAATGGTATGTGCCCTGGGAGATATATCCTAATGACACTTGCCCACCCTACACTGGTGGGCCTGGGTATGTATTTTCTGGAGATCTGGCCCAAAAGATCTACCGTGTTGCTCATACCATTAAGGTAATTAACATGGAAGATTCCTTCATGGGAATCTGTTTGTATGAACTGGGCATCAATGTGACATACAGTCCCTGGGGCCTCTTCAAGATGTATAAAATCAGCTATGAGAAGTGCAAATTCTCAAAGTTAGTGGTTGTACATCACTTTGAGCCAGAGGAGTTGCTACAGATTTGGCCTGACTTCCAGGATGAAAAGAAAATTTGCAAGAATTAGAGATGAATTCTTTAAAAATATATGCTGCCATTTTGGAATGCTAACAATGTATAGATAACATTTGCAGATTTGTTTACATTGGCCAAGCATATGAGATCACAGTTAAATATACAAATAACTGAAAAGCAAAGATCTCGATGGGAAGCTTCTGGGAGTTGTCAGAAGGTGGTATAATTTTTATTCTACCTTTGTAATCTCCAAAATATGTTTCTCCAATTAATATCAGTTTACAGATAGTCCTTGACTTACAAGTTCATTTAGTGACTATTTGAAGTTACAACAGTACTGAAAAAAGTGACTTATTACTGTTTTTCACACTCATGACCATTTGTAAGGCCCTGCCTCAGCTGCTTCCCTCAAGAAAGCAGAACTCTTGAAACTGGTAGCATTTCAAAAATAGCTTTTATTGAGAGATAGTGAAAGCAGGAAGAAGTAGGCAGAATTTGAAGTTCCCAAGTGAAATCACTGTTAAAACCCATTGTTCAAAACCCCTCCCAACTGTCCAGTCCATAGGAGCCAATACAGAGGTGCAAAGGTATTGAGAGCTCTGGATGACCCCATGTGCCCTGCACCCACTTACCTTACTGGTAGGACCACCACAGCCAGGCCTCCACACCCCGACACCTGTTGCGCCACTGCTTGACTTCTGCGGCCGCTTGCCATTTGCGGCCGGATGCCATGTGGCGCATTGCACCATTGCCGCTGCTCGCGGCAGGATGCCACATGGTGCTTCGGGCCACCTCTGCGGCTCGTGCAGCACTTCGAGCTGCTTTTGCTGCTCGCACAGTGTTTCGGGCTGCTTCTCCTGCTCGTGTAGTGCTTTGGGCTACTTCTGCTGCTTACACGCGTTGGGCCACCTCTGCTGCTTGCGCAGCACTTCAGGCCGCTTCTGCTGCTGGTGGCAGGAGGCCATGTGGCTCTTTGGGCTGTTTCTGCTGTTTGCGGCAGGAGCAGTGGAAATGGCCTGAAGTGCCATGTGGCCTCCTGCCGTGAGCAGCAGAAACGGTCCGAAGTGCTGCGTGAGCTTGAAGCATGCGAGCAGAAGCGGCCCAAAGCGCTGTGTGGATTCTTGCCGCTAGCAGAAGTGGCAAGCGGCAGCAGAAGTCAAGCAGCAGAAGTCAAGCAGTGGCACGACAGGTGTTGGGGTGTGGGAGGCCTGGCTGTGGTGGTCCTACTGGTAAGTGGGTGCAGGGCATGTGGGGCAGCTTCATCCCTCTACCCCCACCCTAGCTTGATTTTTAGGGGTGCACCTCGCTCCAAAACTAGGGCTTAGTTTTGTGGTAGGGCTTATATTAGACCCACCCCCCAAAATTAAGCTAGGGCTTACTATTGGGCTGGGTCTTACTTTTGGGGAAACATGGTAGTTAGTTATGTTTATCTGGATAAAGAGCATTGAATCATTTGAGCAGTAGGGGCTCTAACATGTTTCTTGTGGACCCACTCATTTTGGGATGCGGGGAGGTCTTTCCATGCTATGAGGTATTGTGTTATTCCATGGTGTTTACGAGAGTCAAGGACCTCTTTAATTTCAAAATGTTGTTCACCTTCAACCATGATGGGTTGCAGCCTTGGGGGGCCCACAGGCTGTAAAGGTGAGGTTACTTCAGGTTTTAGAAGGCTGCAATGAAACACAGGGTGGACTTGTCTCACAGTTTTTGGTAGCTCTAGTTCTATAGTGATGGGGTTTATAATGTGTGTGATGGGGAAAGGTCCCACAAATTTTGGGCCTAATTTCTTAGAGGGTTGTAGGGACTGGAGATATCGAGTAGATAGGTAGACTCCATCTCCAACACAGAATGGTTTAGGTCACACTCTTTTCTTGTCTGCTTGTGTCTTGTAGGCTGCTCTGGCTTCATCTAGTGCTTTGCGATGACTGGGCAGATATTTTTTAGCTGGTCAATCCATGCCTTCAACATAGGAATGGTGGGATCATTGGTTGGCAGCTCGGGCATTGGGTAGCCTTGCCCGGTAGCCACTCTGAAAGGGGTGAAGCCAGTGCTAGTGTGTACAGCATTGTTATAAGCAACCTCAGCAAAAGGCAAGAGGTCGGTCCAGTTATCCTGTTGATAGTTAATAAAGCATCTTATGTATTGTTCTAGAACTAAGTTCATTCATTCTGTCCCCTCCCCCCCCCCATTCATTTGAGGATGATGACTAGAACTCAGGCCGATCCATCTCCAAAAGTTCCAGAAAGGCTCTCCAGAACTTTGAAGTGAATTAGACCCCCCTCAGAAATTATTCAGTGTGGGGCTCCATGTAAGCGATATATGTGATGTGGGAACAGCTTTGCCAGAGTTTTAGCCATAGGGATCTTCTGATACGGGATAAAGTGAACCTGTTTTGAAAATAGGTCAGTCACTACTCAGATTACTGTATTTCCTAAACTTTCTGGCAACTCTATGATAAAATCCATAGAAATCTCTCCAGAGTGCTAACGGATTGCAGGTTTTCCCTTGTCTCCGTTTGGCTGCTGCGCAGGTGGGCAGCTAGCCATATAGCTCTCAATGTCCTTCTTTAGGGATGGCCACCAAAACTGTCTCTTTAAAAGGTGTAGTGTTTTTATGAATCCAAAGTGCCCCGCCTGTTTCAAATCATGGCAGTTTTGCATAGTCTTTAGTCTCTGACTAGTAGGGACATACAACTTCCCTCCTACCCAGGCTAGTCCTCCTGCATGGAGCAAATGTTCTTGTGGCTCAAGAACTAGGGCTTGCTTGAAAATGAGGGTAGTGGTGTTATCTAGTGGCTGGGCTCCTTTTTTTTTTGCGCTCTCATGGTCATTGGAGCCACTAGCTGTTTTGCTGGGAGCAGGGGCTTGACAATTTCAGCTTTGGTACTATTATACTGGGGCTGTCTCGACAGAGCATTGGCCATAAAGTTCTTCCCTCCCAGTAGATAGCGGAAAGTAAAATTGAAGCACTGAAAATGCTGGGCTCACCATGCCTGTTTAGGAGACAGCTTCCTTGGGGTTTTCAGGGCTTCTAGGTTTTTGTGATCAGTCCAAATTTGGAAAGGGATTTTGCTCTCCTCTAAGAAGTATCGCCAAGTGAGGAGGGCCCACCTGACCGCATAGGCCTCTTTTCCCCACACTGCTCATTTTTTTTGATGTGTAGGCACAAGGCGGTAGTTGGTACTGGTCATTTTCTTGGAGCAACACCACTCCCACAGTCACATCGCTGGCATCGGCTTGAATCATGAAAGGTTTTTCAGGGTCTGGGTGCCTCAATACTGGCTCAGTGGAAAAATGTCTCTTTAGTTTTTCAAACGTCACTTGTCATTCCATAGTCCACTTTAGTGGCTGGCTGGGTTTTGGTTTGTACACCTCCTTTGTCTTTAGCAAGTTAGTGATGGGGAAAGTGATTTGTGCAAAGGAGGGAATGAACTGCCTGTAAAAATTTGCAAAATCGAGAAAGCTCTGTAGCTGCTTCCTGGTATGGGGAGGTACCCGCTCCAATAGAGTACAGCACTTTCTCTGGGTCCATCTCTACCCCTTTGTGGGAGATCCAATAGCCTAGGTAGTTATCTTCTCTTTGTGGAACTTGCATTTTGAGAGCTTAGCATACAGGTTGGCAGCCTGGAGTTTATTCAGGAGTGCTCTGACCAGTTCCACGTGTTCGGTTTTCGTTTCACTGTAGATCAATATGTTGTCAAGGTATACCAATACCCCCTTGTATAGGTGCTCATGGAGCACTTTGTCAGCTGCATAAACATAGCAGTCCAAACGGGAGCACCTTGAATTGAAAGCAGCCTAGGGGCAATTAAAGGCAGTTTTACACTCATCTCCTTCCTTAATTCTGACTTGGTAGTATGCTTCACACAAGTCCAGGTTAGAAAATACCTTTTCCTTTGATAGATGGGCTAGCATATCTTTCATGAGTGGGAGGGGGTACAGGTTTTCCATGCACACTGCATTCAGACCCCTATAATCCACAGAGACGAAGGGACCCATCTTTCTTTTCTCGGAACAGGACCAGGGTGGCCACCCTGGCTCTGGCCAGTTGTATGAAGCTCTGGGCCAAGTTCTTGTCTATAAATTTACATAACTCCTCTAGCTCCCTTGGGGTCATTGAGTACAACTTTGGCTTTGGCAACTTAGCCCCCGGGACAGTCTCAATGGTGCAGTCTGTGGGCCGTTGGGGAGGGAGTTCATCTGACCCCTTCTCACTAAAAAGTCACCCAAATTGTGATATTCTCGGGGTATGCCCTGCAACAACTCACCTCTCGAGGCAGGTGCCACTTCTCTACTGGGGTCTTTACTTGCTCTGTGGCCACAGCCATGTGAGTTGGCTCTTTCTTTGGGAACTTTAGAAGTCTCTTCCTCCAGTCCGCCTGCAGGTTCCATTTTTTGAGCCAGGCCAGCCCTAGAACCAGGGACCATTCCATTCTGGGCGCCATGATAAAAGTCAGAGAGAGTGGCTACCTATGGTGAGGTCCAGGGGTTCGGTGGTGAAAGTCTCTGGGTTGAGTGAGAAGCACAAGCATGAAGAGGAGAGCAAGGAGGAGACCTATGAGGGGGGAGGGTCCCCCCTTCCAGAGACGGCTGCAGGGGCTGCTGAATCGTCCAAAAAGGTGATCGACACACCAGCCAACTCTCCCTGCAGGGACCAGGGGGCCGCGAACTCTCGCAGGCCTCATGGGGGAGCAGATCCTCAGCAGAAACGAAAGGCACCCCCTTTGGCATCAAATTTGACTGAGATCCTCAGCAACTGGGATTCTTCCTTGCCCACATCCTCACCTATATGCAAGAATATGGGTGAAATATCCCAAGTGGGCCAGGGTGAGGGTGGTCACCCTAGCCCTAGGGAACCACAGCCTACTGGATGGTGACTCTCCACAACGCTAATGCTCCAGAGCTCTGGGATGTCAACTGCTGAGATGGAAGTTCAAGGACCCCCTGGTTGACCAGAAAGCCAGAGACCGCATCAAAACAGTAAGACAGGGCCATCGCCCAGTAGCCGAATACACTGAGGAGTTCCAGGACCTAGCCTGCTGCCTCAACTGGT